AAACCTGAATTTTTAAAATGTAAAAGAAAAAACATGGTTTGATGTAATTTCCTCTAATCATATTTGTCAATGGAAATTGGTGAAAAAGAAAACGAATAACATCCTTGTGAGCAACACACGATTATGTCAAAAATGGAGACTTGTGTCTGGTATAAATTTTCAGCAGATTTATAGCAAGAAAATGACCGTTGTTTTCAATTGATAGGTCCCACTTGTGAGTAAGGAAGTCAACTTTGACTGCTGAGATTGCTTTCCAACAGTTCAAAAATTCATTTCTTGGCTTGAATAATTGATACCGGACACACCCTTACATTTGTACTTTTTTGTTGAGAATTGAGACCAATTTTTTAAACTTGTCGACATGATCGTTGAGTGGAGAAAAATAACGAGACAAAAATATAAAAAAAATAGATAAAAATTTATAGACGGTCGAAGCTTATCAATGCTATATGAAATTGATAAATCATATACAAATTTACTCTTCCAAACCATTCCCCTGCCATCGAAAAAATAATATCATAAACTTTACCACATCCTCGCATTTCTACTCTTTGAACCCACAAAGAGAACACGAAAAATTAAAATGCCGAGCTTACAATTTTTCGTCTAAAAAACCCAAAAAGGATAACCAATTGACATTTTATAATATTTTCGTTATAAACAATCTCCACATTTCAAAAATGAGTGAAATTTCATTTTTATATCTTCCGCAACATTTGATAATGATATCTAAGGAAAAAGTGGTAAACTTGGTTAGTCTCAATACTAAAACATACAATGTACGAATATAAACACTCAGAATCTAAGGATTTCATCGACTCGCATCGAATAGACTTTCTGAAAAGTTATGGTGCAATCCCAAGCTTGACTTTCATGGAAGTCCATCAATCATTGATACCGGTTCCACCAAACATCTTTCAGTAATGTGAAACCAATGTATGTACACAAATATATGGAACTGTTAGTAGTATCACATCCTCTATCATGACAATTAACCTATGTAGGTTTTAAATATATTAACTGAAGTGAAATTATCGTTCTTCATAAAGAGAGACACAATGCCATTCTGAGACTGAGCAATTAGTTGAGTCTGTTCATCTTTCTAACAATTTTTCCTAATGTGAAGAAGTTATCTATACCTAATGGAGGTCTCCCTTTCTAATGTTTGCACA